TTCACATTTTAAAGTGTTGAAACAAATGCAAATATCTTACATATACCAGAAATGTAATGCTGCGCAGCATCGGACCATAAAAAGCTTTGTTTTAACATGCTTTTTGCATTGCTCTGAATGCAGGTCTGCAGTAAGCTAATGTGACTTTTATCAGCAACAATATGTTTCCCGTAATTGTGTGCTAAGCAAATGTGCACTTCCCAGACTGGAGAATGGCTGTGTGCCACCTGGCGCATGCAAAATACGACACAAAGAAATGCAAATGTAGAAGCGAGCAGATCAATACGCACATAAAAGTTCATGGTTTCGATCAAAGGAAAACACACAGAGCCTTGGATGTTCTCTGCTTGTGCGAGTCTATGTTTTTTTCTAATGGCCTCTACATTTTTGTGAAACGATAGATTTTATCCATATTTATATTTTAGTGCACAATGAAACGCAGACTTGCTGTGAATCATACCTGGAAATCTTGATCCTCAATGCCAAAGCGCTCTCGCAGGTTTCTGAACACTTGAGGACAGTACTCTTTGAATTTAAACTGTCCTGGAAGAGTCTCCCTGAGGAATAATGACAATAACGCATAGATTTAGTGTGCAGCAACATTTTACAAAAGATCTATGCTCGTGACTATTAGCTGACTGAATTATATTAGGGATCCTGCTGCTTAACAGCTTCCAGATCAAAACAAGTTCAGAGAAATCTCACTACAGTAACGGCACTTTAACCTTGGGAAAATATTTTATTGGTCCTCAAACCTCTGTTCATAAGTCTTTACTGAACCCGGATTCCTGAACGGATTAAAGGATTATTGAAAGCCTTTCACTTTTCTAGACTCAGTGCTTATAGAAACTGAACCTAACAACAGACACTGTATAGGACAGCTTTTATAAATGATTATTATACTGTAGCACACTCTGACTGACACTCTTCCACCACTATTTCAGATAAATCCATCAAGCTAACCTTTTTTTGCCTTTTAAATTATGTTGCACAGCAAGTAAAAAAAACACAAGTTAATGCTGCACTTCTAACTTTAGCCCATAACATCATTCTTTCTCTTTCGAGACAATATTGCACTGCGCTCATTACTGTAGCTATAGTGTTGGTGAAGAAAAACACCGTTGCTCTCTAAAGGGGTCTGGATATTCTGATAAGCAGAGACAATAACACCGAGAAATAAATCCTGAGAGGAACAAAAATCTGTGCAGTTTGCAGGAAGCAAAACGAGGCTCCTGCAATCATGCAGACAGAGCTGAGTAGAGCCTATGAGCAGAGCACAGTACTTATTGAAGAGGTGGTTGTTGACTTTGATCTTGGTGCTGGCTTTGAAGTCGTCTGGGAGCAGCATGACAGGTACGGGCACCTGGCTCAGGTCATTAATCTGCGCATGATCAGTGGATAAATAGTTAATAATGAACATTTTCATACCCAGGCAGACAGAAGTGCACATTAAACGGCCTTATAGCTACCGAATGATTGACTCCCCACATCAGCACGCTCAACACGGGGTCACTCGCTCGGAAAACCTTCACTTTCTGTTGAACAAAGTGTTTCTTCTTCGTCTTCCTTTTTGGCGCCAGAGTGTTCAGAGGGTTGGAGGTAGCACTGGGAGAAGACATTTTCAGGCAGGTATCCGCGTCCCCGTCTGTGGACAGGCGTTTTGTTGTCTCTGTATGTAAAGTAGGCTAAAGTCCGCCCTGCAGCAGCCTATTAGCGCTTTGATCCAACACCCTGCGAGCCCAGCGCCTTTTGGTCCTTCAGTCCAGCAACGAACAGGTGCAGAGCCTCCCCCAACACGGGCTGAGCCTTCATCATCTTATTTTGTGGCTCATTTTTAAGCTTTGTTAATTTGACATGCTGTCACATTAATGATCATTTTCGTGCAGGCTTGCTTACAGGCAGAACTGCAGTAATTACATCTAAATTACCAGTGCTGTACGATTCTGCAAAGTTTGGTATCCATCCGATACCAAGTAAATAAAGGGCTAGTATTGCCGATACCATTGTCGATACTGAAACTTTTAACTTGTAAGTAGGGGAGAGAAGTGTATTTTTTAATGTGGTTTCTTCTGGAGACCTGGAATCTATAGAAACAAAGTATCCATCATATTCTGCTGGCCCACCTCTATTATTACAGCTCTTAGTGGTGATTTGTTAATTATAGTTAATTTTTATATATATATATATATATTTGTTTGTTTGTGACCTTTAAAATGTAGCAATTTATGTTTATAATAGCACATGCTGTGAGGGAAATGTGTTTTGTTTCCGTTTACTTAAATAATTTTAAATTGCATCAGTTTTTTGTTTGTTTGTTTTTTTTATTCAAAAATACTCTAAAGAAGAATATATGCATTTTGTATTCACGTGTTGATGTCATTCATCTATCTTACTCAGTGCGGTGTGGTCAGGCTCATCAGAATATTTTATCATAAATAAATACAATAGTGAGAAACTGATGTAGAATTCAGTGGGTCATGCTGAGCCTGTGCCACTTTGTTAGGTACACCTGTACGTGCAAATATGCCATGGCATTACCATGGCATTTGAGCGTGTAGACATGGCCTGTATGACCTGCAGAAGTTCAAACTGAGCAGAATGGGGAAGAAAGATGATTTAAGGGACTTGAACATTTGCATGGTTGCTGGTGCCGGACAGGCTAGTCTGGTTATTTCAGAACCTGCTGATCTACTGATATTTTCCCAAACAAGGTTTACAGAGAATAGTTTTGAATGGCTGTTATCTGGGTGAAAATGCTTTATCTACTTCAGAGGTCAGAGGAGAATGGCCATACTCCCTTTAGGACGTCAGGGCAGATGGCATGGATACCCAACTTTGTGAACACGATAACTCGAGAACGAAGTGATGGTACTTTCAGATTGGTACAATATGTGGGTCTACTAAAAATCTTGGACAAGTTTGAATATTAGTGACCTCAGCTTCAGTGATCTCTGCTGTGACATTCAGGTGATAGTGTCAGAATAAACAACATGAAAGCACGTATCCACGATGCTGTGGATCAGCACTTCAGGCTGCTGGTGGTGTAATGGTGTAAGGGATATTTTCTTGGCACACTTTAGGCCCATTAGGCCCAATGGAGCATTGTTTAAATGCCACAGTCTGATTATTATCGCTGACCATGCCCATCCATTTATGACCACAGAGCCATCTTCTGATTCCTGCTTACAGCAGCATAGTGCATCATGTCATTGAACATGACAATGAGTTCACAGTTGCTCAAATGGCCTCCTCCACATTCACCAGATCTGAAGCCAATAGAGCACCTTTGGGATGTTGTGGACCAGGAGAGTTTCATCATGTGCAGCTGACAATTCTGCAAAAACTGTGTGATGCTGTCACATCAATATAGACCAAAATATCTGAGAAATGTTTCCAGCACCTTGTTGAATCTATGCCTTACAGAATTAAGGCAGTCCTGAACTCAAAAGGGGACCCAACCCAGTACCAAAGAAGTGTACCTAATAAAGTGGCCAGTTTGTGTGGATGAAATTATTTGAACTGCATAAGAGGTTAAATGTTGGTTTGTGATGAACAATTTTTAAGTAAATTAATTATCCTGATAGTAGTTATACTCATGATGCACATGCAGAAGTGCCCTGTTCACAGTCATATACACTGTCTCAGTCATGCATAAGCATTATGGGGCCAGTGCAACCCTATGCTTCCTGCTTGGTTGTTAACCACTAAGACTTGTAACACAGTACTTTCTGGTGCAAATTACAGTGGGAGCTGTAATTTTTACACTTCACAAAACCACCAGGTGGACCGTATTGGACCATTCCACGGGCCAGTTCGGGCCTCCAGACCACATGTTTGACACCCTTGTTGCAGAAAATCATAATATTCTTTCCATTGTGGTTGCAGGAACCACTAGACTAAAGAGCTGAGACTTCCTGTTTAAAGGGCCAGATAAATTAAAAAACTAAAACATGTTTTATTTTAAAAAATCTTTAATATAATAACCAATAAAAATCTTACATTTATTTTTGTAATACTGTGTTTCGCCGTATATCAGTCTTGAAAATTAAAAATGCCCCCAAGTCCTTAATCACTAATGGCGCTATCAGTGTTAACATAAATAGAATATCATATCCGAAGTAACATAAATAGGATTACATGTTGAGATATTTTACAGCATTGATAGTTGTACTATTACAGTGGTTTCAAAGTTTAAAAAAAATATGGAAAATATATATAAATACACTGAAAAGATACAAAAACAAATTTAAAAAAAGACAGACCATATTTTCTAAACTTATTGTTTGAATTGAGAAATTTATGAAGTTAAATGACCTTAAATAACTGCTTTTGTGACTGGGTGTCAAAATGGGGGGGAAAAGACTTTCTCCTGAGCTGATTAGAGAGGAAGAGGAGAAAAAGGGACTAAAAGCTGGCATACACCAGTGTGCAGGACTCATTCGTAATAACAAAGTGTTTCGGGATAAAATTATTTTGTTTTTCTCCACTTTGAGAATATAATTGAACCCACTGAGGCTGATTCCTCAGACACTCACCTAACCAAATTTATTGCTTCTTTAATCAGCCCTGGAGGTTTTAGCTATAATTGGAAAAGAGTTTTTTTCTAGTGATCAGTCAGTCTATAAAATTCTAAACTTGCATTAATAACACGATGTGCCACTGGTGGATGCCGAAAATGTGCCTCTCTATGCTTACATAGATATTCTTTTCAAGAAAAAAAATCATAACTGATTTATGGTTAATCAATCCAATAATCAATAGCTGTCATTTACAATACTTAGAATCAGTTTCATGTTAGAACAAATGGGGTTTCCCTTCAAAAGCAAACAGCATTTTTAAATGGCCGCGTGTTATGAGGGTTAACGTGAAAGGACATCAAACCAATAAAGTTTTAATGTGTTCAGCAGAGGGCGCATGGACACTAAAGTTTCACCTGATTGTTAAACAGCCTTGCAATAGCGATGTCCTTCTCTCTGCTGGCGCACAGTCACATAAGAGGCACTGTGTTCGGTCCCTTTACTGGTCTGGTGTGCCTTCATCGTAATCTCACACAGGGACTGAAGCTTCAGCCTCCTCGTTGCATTTAACAGCTCAGACCACCCTTCTGTTTAGTGTTTGTAGACAGGGGCATGCCGTTCTTGTCAACGCACCAACACTTTCCTCGCCGCCGCCCACCTCGAGATGACCAACACTGCCGAAAACACAACAGACATAGTAAAGAGTTAAATGCAAAGATGTCTGGTCTCTATAGAATCAATGTGAGATCAGCCCTTTTTCCTATAAATCATCTAATTTGGAGACTCACCTGCTTCTTTCTGAAGAAACCACGCTTGTCACAGTTGGGCATGTAGATATCATGGTTTGACGTAAATAAATGGGCATTAAGACCTTCGATGATTGTCGTTAGCAGCTGACGGCATGGAGCCTGAGAGAAGGAACAGAGTTAACCAGATATATGTAATGCCTACTTTAATTCACTGTCAGGAATGTGCTCTTTTTGTTTTGTTTTGTTTTTTAAACATAGATATACAGTACAGGATGAGCGTTTTTACCTCATCTGGATCCTCAGTAGGTGTACTTTCTAGTGTATGAAAGCAAATAAAAACAAACAAGAACATCAGTTTTTAAAATTTTAGCGTTTATGCCATTAAATTGAGGAAGATTTCACACATTTTGAGATCTTTTGCTTGGTAACACATGTTGATTTCTCTAGTCATACTCCAATTTCCATTATAACATGATAATAACCTGAAAAGCAGTGAGTTAAAAGCATTTAACTTTCGAGATAAATGTGATATTTAAGATTGTATCTCAGCCAACAACAGCAAAAATAATAATAATAAGTATTCAATTACTCCTAAATCCATAATGTTTCTCTCTCACTGATTAAATCATAGCTTCTCCCAAAAAAGTAAGCTGAAACTTACCAGCAACATGGACCGGTTTAGTCGGGCTGGTGCTACTGGCATTACTGCAGACTCCTCTGCCTTCCAGCAGGGCACGCAGGGGCTTTGGCTCATCGTCTGGAGGTGCACAACGCAGACCGTGGGCGCAGCTCAGAGTGTAGACGCCACACGGCTCTCCAAGAGCCAAAGTTGTGGCATTTAGCTCTACAGACGGCTGCCTCTGTGAGTGCTTTCCTCTGCAGGTAGGACATCCTCTGGACGGTGTGGTCAGTGGGCTTGAACAAGCCAGCTGCAGGAGGACCAGCACCAGGATGTTTAAACACAGCAACATCTTACACTAAAAGTTGTCTGCTAATAAATGGTTCCAGTGCAGCCTCGTAGCAGTAATAAACGGTTCCAAGATTCCCTTTTCTAACTCTGTTCCCAGTTTTGGATAATTTGCTCCAGCTGAGAGCAGCAAGTGATAATGCAGCTGACAGACGCCACTGACAGCAGCTTTTAAAGAGGAAAGGTATGGGAGGGATACGTGATGGAGAATGTTAGCTTTCCTCTCATTTCCACACAGCTGAGCACACCCCATTTGACTTGTCTCTGACACATACACGTGCTCACGCACGCTCATGCCATTTGTTGCCTGTCATGCCACTGGATAGCTATGTTTCCTACATTGACATAAATCACAAGTGATGCTGCGTTTGCTACACCATTGCTCTGCCTTTTCCCCACTTAGAGGATCATTTATCATCGCCATATTTTTACAGAGGTGCTGCTTTATTATGGCCAGTCAATCATGGTAGGGCTAAAAGATGAAAAAGACACTTTATTTTCTGCAGCATAAATTTAGTTTCATTACACCACGGTTTTCAATGGCATTCAAATCTCTAGCAGAATTTAATATTAAAATGATTTGAATATAAAAAAATAATAAAAATAAGTAAAAATAGTTAAAACAAGGAATAAATCTGGCTTTATAGCCTCAAAAAACACTCCAAATAATAGAAGTTTTTCTCTGTTAACAACAGTAAAAGCATTTTGGCACTCCAACACCTCCAACCTTTTTATTGATATTGTCACTACTTTTTTTTTAAACGCTATCTGCTAAATCGACAGTGTGTTCTCAGAGTGTGTTTACAGATTCTCAGGGCTGAAGCTGACACTGATTGACACCGGAAGGTTGAAGGAGTGCCGCTGAAGGCAAGATGACTAAGACATCAATAGCCACAAGCTAAAAGTCCCGCCCTGTAAATTCCGCATTTGTGAATCACAAACACATGAAATTAAAGGACAGGATCAAAGTATTTTGCCATAAAATTGATACGTTTAATATCTCATGGTTGCTAGGACTTGTAGGTTTCTGCTTTCATTTTCCCCACCAGAAGCAAACTTACTCTTAAGTTCCATGCCGGTTTATACAATTGTAAACCAGCTCGCAAACTGAGGTTCAACTTCATAAGAAGCTGTGAGGGGGATGCAGTGTTTTGCTTGAAATTTCAAAATCAAGAAAATAATCCAAAAAAGAGATAAATAAGGTACTTTCAGCTGCTCCCCTATTTCCCAAAGGGTTGCCAAAGCGGATGGATCCACATGTTTGATTTGGCAAGGATTTTATGCCAGAGGAACTTCCTAATACAACCCTCCTATTTATCCAGCCTTGGGACTACTAGGAGCTTTTGAACCCCTGAGGTTCGAATGGATTGGGAATCTTGGTGAATGTGTTGACTATTACACCACAGAGCCACTAATCCACTAGATTAAAATATTAAAATATCTGTTACAAAGTGAAAATGAAATATGTATAACTAAATTCATAAACACGTGGAATAAAAATAAATTCAATTTAAAACTAAGAATTACCAGGGTCCCGGACCCTCTTAGGTACACTCCCAATAGGGCTTAAAAATCTGGGATTCTCCACTTCTCCACCAATTGCTCTTAGATCTGAAGAAGCTTCTCAGATGAGAAGTTTCAAGAAACTAAAAGAGGTCCAAGCTAATATATATATATATCAAGGACCACTTGTATCTGCAGGGGGATGTTCAGCAGGGTACCCAGCCTACATCCCAACATCGTTTCGTATGCTCTAAAACCAATACTTCAGAGTTCGTTCCTAGGAGCAAAGTAATGACCTACCTGGTCAAATAAAACAAAACCAACCATTTATAAAGTAAAACATATATTTTATTTTATTTTTAAAGTATTGTTGAGTCGGTCACGCTACTTCTTTTCTTATCATATGCAAAGAGAGTTGGATGTAGACGTAAAAAACGCAAACTGTAAAATCAAAAGGGGGAAAATAAAAAAAACTACAAACGGCATCGCTGTCTCACGGCACTGCGCAGGTTAAATATTTCTCTCCGTATTCATCCTCACGTTTGATTGGTCGAGGAGGCGGGACTTCCGACAGCGCTGGCTTGGCATAAAGTGGCATAGTTCACCTCCTTAAAATTGGAAGAAAAGCCGAAGAACGACGCGTTACAAGTTATAAAACAGTAAGGAATCATTATAAGACAGGAGGACTTTGAATAGTGTGGGTATAAACTCTATTGTATCCATGTTTACGTCATATAATCAGCCACAAAGCGACATAATGTTGTGGCGCTGAAGCAGCTAGCCGGCCAACAGAGTCCTGTCTGTAGTTTGGGAAATGCAGTGTCGTGTTTGGGGAAGGCTCGTAAATTAGTAAATCGTAGTGGTTAAAAGGCAAGAAACAAAGTGATAGTACGACCTTACGGCTTTCATATTTATTTTCTTTGGCAAAACAAAAAAACGCACGCATATATATTATATGCATGATAGTGACTCGTACTTTACAAAGGTTTCAGTAGTGTATGGCAGCATTTTTAGACTTTTTCAACTCTGCGCATGTCTGTATAATGACCCACCTCTGACTCAGTGAAAAGAAAATATCCACATCACCGTTCACGACAAATATACCTCTATAGTAAAGGGTGAATTTGAATTTCAAAAAAGAAAAATATAACTTTGTGTGTAATGTCACGTGAGTCGGCACGGCTTTGGTTATAGACTTGATAATATTACTTTCTTATAATATTCTTATAATATTAGAAAGTAGTAGACCTGAGACATCAGCCGATTGGGTAACTAACAGGTGAAGTGCAAATCTATTTGTCATTTATAATACAAAACTTTCTGTTTCAACTCCTGCTTTTTAAGCTTTTCAGTTTCAGTTTTTTGTCTTGTTTGATAGTAATCTGAATATTATAAGAATAAAGTATAGTTTAGGAAAAATATGTGTACTCGCATCCTTTTACTAGTAAGTGATTTGCCTTTATATTATCAGCACGTAATAAAGAAAAGTGAGCAAGAGACAAAGTGAATCTGGGAGTCATGTATTCATGGGAATCTTGAGATGAGACAGTCTATTCTTGAGTCAGCCCCAGTTCGGTTAGCGTGTAGGTCGCCCACGCGAAAAACCTGTCCGTCACGGGCCAACACAATGGGGGGGCTCAGTTCGTGCCTGTTGGCAGGGTGAAGTCCCTGTCCAGGCCTTTGCTTGTCTTTGGAAAGTAGGATTAAATGTGAATGGAAAAACAGAGTCTCCTCACAGGAAGGGTTTGGCCTGAGGATCAAACCCAAGTCCTTCGTATTGTTTGATTGCACAATATTGTGGTCAGAAATCATTACTGTTTTATTAAGGAGGTCCTGTGCTGCCCCTGAATTTCCCAAACTTATACTTTTGGTGACTGCATTTATATTTATTTTTTCCTCATAAACTCATGTCAGTTATATAGTAACTAAACCTCTGTGCCTTGTAAACGATAGAGTCAGCATAACAACACTTCTTGTTCATAATTTGGTGGAGTGGTCCACTTTTACAGTAACTTTTGGTGTTTTAAAACCAGGTATTTTATCTCAGATGTGCTCTTTGTGTTCTAGATTGTGATGGTTTTCAGACATGGACGACATAAACCTTCATTATCGCTTTCTAAACTGGAGGAGGCGAATACGAGAAATTCGTGAGGTGCGAGCTGTGCGTTACCGGGAGAGACTCAAAAGGATGTTGAGAGATGGTGACGTACTCAGGTAAAAGCAATGCCACTTTGGGAGATGGAAGAGAACCTTTCTACTGATTTGGCATCCGATTTCACTTAAGTGCTGATTATTACGGATCTCTTTGTAGGTATCATGGGAATTCAGATGAAGTTGGCTGCTTTGTGGCGGCCAGGCCACTGTCGAAAAGAAACCGCTATTTTGAAGTAAGTGCACCAACTTATGCGTTTACTTAAAACACCATTGTGATCATTTTTGTAACCTCGCTGATGTTTGTGTTTTCACTTGTCTTGCCTATTCTGCAACACAATGTACGTGTCCATAACCATGATATCTTGGATTGATTGCCACATTAAAGAACTGAAATTGGGACCAGCTATATGGTTTTAATGGCCACAGTTGGGAACCATTCTTGGGTGTATTCACATCAGGCATCATTTCATGGATTTCCCCTCTCGTCTGCTGTCATACACTCACACTACACCTAAAGAAACGGGTGTGTGTACGCTTCAATTTGTCTCAGAAACTTGCTCTCTCTCTCTCTAATTGACTTTTGAAAGTGGTCACACACTGTCCTCTCACCTTACCTGTACATCTGTTAATTAGAAATTAACAAGCTCTTTGTAATAAAACTATTATTCCCATGCTCATACACTAATTCCCTGCCAACTGAACTGTACCTGTGCCCAGTTTTTCTCACACTCACACTGGCCAAACACACTGATCTTAGGGGGGTTAAACATGCTCAGGCACAGTGTGGATTGCCTGCTGTGAGTTCACTCTTACTGCTGTGAGTTCACCCTTACTGTTGATTAGTTGATGATGTAATGTTGGAAAGTCCAACAAGTTTTCTGCCACCCTCTTCATTTCTGAGCTGGACTGTTTTCACTGTTTGTTTTTTTTAAATCGAAGACTTCTGTAGACTTTCTCTAGTGTAGGCTTCTCTCAGTTATGACCTCTGTGAATGGAGGTTTTCACATTTCACAAAACCCAATTGGGTATTGAACAAAAAAATTTTAAATGTATTTTTACTGCGCTGTCATTGTAGTTCAGCGTTAATAAAAAAAGCCGTGGGCCTGTTTCCACATGACAGTGCAATTTTAGAAGACTTGAATATATTATGTGTTCATTCCGCAGTATGCAGTTTAATTGATGTGGAAGTTACGTTCAAGTAATGAAAGTGATTGTGCACAGAAGAACTTCTTTTGTGTGGTGTTCTGGAACAGAAATGGTGGTCCCGTCTGAGCCTGAAAGTAACTGAATCTAATCATCAGGCACTTGTAAAATATTCAGCAGTATATTTAAAACTCTCAGTATTCATACAGAGTCTGTCTGTGTTCAGGCCACTCAATCAATATGAATGCACAAAAATACATTGACAACAGTACAAATTAATAATAATTTCTGTTTAATTTTTAATTGTTTCGATTTGGTTGTTGCTACAGTAATTTATTCTTATTTTTTCAAATATGTAAAAAAAAAAATGTAAAAAATATTCTCCTCTCCTCTTCCATGCTTTGCACCTGTTGTTGGACTGTTAGCACCAGAGGGAGTTTATAGCCAGCAAGGTTTTCTCTCACTCACTATATAGTAACATGCAGTGTTTCTGGGAATGCAAGAAGTTATCAGCACATTTTATAAACTGCTCATTTATACACTGAGCCTACAACTGCACAATTGTGTAATTGTACACATTAAACAAAGAGTAGCTAGAAGAAATAAAACCTTGTTATTGTCATAGGATTTTATTACTTACATACAGTATGAGGTTGCCTGTGATTGTAATCTGATAGCTTTATTGTAAATAGTGTAGTCATGTGGCTAGGTGCTTTACCAGGTATCGACTCTCTCAAGTGTTAATGCTACAAGATGACACTAAAAGCTCAAAGCACAATGATGCAGAGGTTCAACAATGAGTCGTTTTTTAATATATATATATGAAAAGATTATGAGTTCACGAGTGACGCATGAACTGTTAAACAGAATAGACAGACTCCTAAAGATGAGAAAAAATTGATTATCAATTGTGTGTTATTATGAGTGTAAAGGTGAGGCTGTGTTTTACCCATCGGTTAGCGTTAGATTCCTACCATCACCTATTGTCTGGGTAGTGACTGAAAGAATGAGGTTATGGATATTAGCAGCGGGAATG